AATATTTTAAAAAATAATGTATGCACTCACTACCTGTAAGTCGCTCTGGATAAGAGCGTCTGCTAAATGACTAAAATGTAAATGTATGCGTCGTCACGACCTGCTTCGTGTTTGTTTCTGTGTAAGACAAGGGGTCCCCTCTTCCCTGTAAATATGGCTCTGTATCTAATGCTGCATTCATCACCAATTGGAAAGGTGGCAATTACCTGTTGTGAAGTCAAAAATACCAGTTGGATGCATTCACATGCTTTGAACTCGTTGAGAAACGCTGATTGGCTAATGGTCAACAAGCTGTGTCAGCTTTAAACTAAACGTACAGCTATCATGATTGTAAATAAATTATAGTGTTCAAAAACCATATTAATAGATTGCTTTTTATAAATAATGTTTTGTTGTTGCATTTAACTTCAGAAAATGCTGTTATCGAGGTACTTTTCTTAGTACACGACATTAGAGGTCAACATGTGGGAGAAGTCGGAGTTTAGGAATAAAATAAGAGTTTCCAACTTCTAATTACCAGTTGGAGGGGCGTTCAAGTGGATTTTTTCCAGTCATATATGGTAAATACTACCTTCCCACTTGGTTATGAACACAGCATAATAATCTAATTGTTGCCTCAATTATGTGTAAAACAACCCACAAATAGCAAATAAATAATCTGCCTGCTTGCTGTACTTAGTATTTTTATACAAGGGGTGAGCATTATTTAGGAATCTCATCTACAGCTTTGTGTATCAATAGAATAATAGAAAATATGAACCTATCAGCTATATAAACTATATTTAGGAAGTCAGATTTGATGATAGTAGAAGGGAAATCCTTTCTGAAATCAATCCTCAGTTAGAGTAGCATATCTTTGTCTTGGTTCAGAAGAGGAGAGGCTGCCTGCTAGTGATGTGCAGTTCGTGAACGATTCGTTATTTTTGAACACTCGTTTTATTGACTCAACATTCATGAGTCGCTTTTCTGAGTGACTCGTTCATTTTAGTCGTTCGTTTGACCTGCTAGTGCTGTCCGGAGTGGCCGCAATGAGTCCTACAGCAGGATGAATCCACGGCTATAGATTAATACACGGCTCAGCGGTTCCAGAGACTTGCTCTGACTTTCTGACGCGCAGGAAAATAGATCATGAGCATAGAACAGAAAATAAAAATACATGTTTAGAACTAATAATTGATCGCATGGTGCAAGAATGTTATGATGGACACATCTTTGTAGAACCAAAACATAGGCTCCACACAGCCTTTGCTCCTCAAACTCGAACTCGAGAACGAATCGTTTGGTGCTTTTCACCCTCACCGCAGTCAAACAATGCATTCCGCCAAGAGTCGTTCACAGTCTAGTCCGGTTGCGGCCACAAATTGACGTCGTTTCAAATGTATCTTGAAATAACCTTATTGGTATGAGTAGCAATCAACAAAATGTACATTGTTTAAAGCACACGTTTACAAGTCTCAGTCACAAATGACAGCTCCAATAAGCCCTCTATTGTGAACGTCATGTGAAGGAGAGGCTTGTAGAATCAACTCTTTCCAGTTTTCAGTTCACCGGTAGGGTGTCCTGCGTGCTCTGGTCATTACTTACTCAAATGAACGAAATTTGCCGAAATATTCGTTATTTTGACTGAACGATTCGAAAAGATCCGAGTCAGTAAAAAGAGACAAACTTCCCATCACTACCGCCAGCCTGCTGAATCTCTGGCTGCAGCATTTGAAGGCGTGCACCTTTTGGACCGTGCGTGGGAATTCCCTAGATACGTGGCAACGCAGTGACGCTGCTGTTCAGTAGTAAAAGGGTCCTTGCTATTCGCATCCTTGGGACCGTAATAAAACCCAGAGCTCTCCAGCACCAAGGGACAGCACCGCGTCAGCAGCCAGACAGAATAGTTAGAGAGGAGAGGGCCGAGCAGAACACTCCGCATTCTGCTGCAGACACTAACTTTTACATAAAAAAAAAATACATGTTTTAGCAGACGCTCTTATCCAGAGCGACTTACAGGAGCAATTAGGGTTAAGTGCCTTGCTCAAGGGCACATCGACAGATTTTTCACCTAGTCGGCTCGGGGATTAGAACAAGCGACCTTTCGGTTACTAGCACTACGCTCGTAACCACTAAGCTACCTGCCGCCCTAACTGAGCTCAGTCCTTCTTCTAGCTGTAAAGGATCATACAGATGTATCATTTTATTTTCCAGTCGCACTGAAACTATCCTTACTGTTTTATCTTGCACTTGGGAAATATTTATTGAAGGGAAAAGGACGCACTAAAACTGGACAAATATTCTGCAATCGGGATTTTGTGTTTGTAACGTGATAAAACGCGCCTTGCCTTCTACCCCGATGTGGAGGCGCTCTCCGTTCAGTCACAGAAGAGGGGTTCTAGACTCCAGACCAGGGGCGGCCTGTTCAATAGGGCGATATGGGCGACGCACTGCCAAACGGGAAAAGGAAGGGATTTTTTTTCTAATCAATTATATCACGGCAACAGTAGTTATCAGTGTTGTAATCTATACGTCTGATCTGCCACAGTGCCACACTGCCACTAAATGTCGAATCAGGCTAAAGTCGTGCTTCAAATGGCTCCCCCCCCTTTTGGGGCGATTTCAGTCAGGTTGAAAATCGCCCAGAAGTCTGTAATAGACTCCCATGTAAAATCTATTTTTTTCAAATTTCAGAGCCTTCAATACAATCTCAATGGGTGTCTGTGGGCTTGCACTTACGCGCTTTCGTCATACGTTACGTAACCATGAACGTAACTGAGAAAAGAGTGGATTGTTTGAAAGAAGTTCCTTTTTGTCGGCGAACAAATGGAGATAAATTGGCAACGAAACAATTAGGACCTCCCAGACCAAATTTAATAATTCAACAGGTTTCTACTAAAGGCGGAAAGTCCTACACCCGAGGATTTTCCAAAAATTGGTACGAACGAAAAAAGACATTGCCACTCACTCAACTGGATGACGAGGGATACAGGCTAGCTGTCCGCCGCCACAACGATGAGGTTAGTGTTGATAATCACAAGTTTACTGGATGTGGATATGGTGTAATAAAGGCAGTTTATTCAGAGGTAAATATATCTGGAATCGCGTTCACGGACCCGTTCGTCAAACTCTTAGGGAGCTATAAATTAAGCCCCATTACTTACCATATCAGATAAGAGAAATTGCTGCAGCTACATATATTTTACATCCTGGCCCTACATAGTTCACTATTTGCATCACTTACCAAAATATTACATGTGGTCATATATGCTTGGAAAGTGGAGATGCCATAGAACGTAAAAAAAGTAAACATTGCTGGAGACACATTGCCGTTTTGGAGAAGACATCGCGTTTGCTAGCGAAGAGATTTGTTGTGGCAAATGAACTTGGGCTGGGAATTGCCAGGAACCTCACGATAAGATATATGCATCAGCATTGCGAGTCTCATGATTCTATACGTATTGCGATTCGATACTGTGATTTTATTGCGCACCATATGTCTGTTGCAGAGCGATCAGAAAGCCATGAGAATGAGTTTTGATCAGTCATGGAAATAAAAGTGCTGAAAACAAATTTGCTCCCAATGTGAAAAGATTGAGAACAAGCTATGAAGGAACAATAATGGTGTTTTGGTGCAGGTACAGCCAACTAGCGCTAAAATATTGCGATATTGTCAATACAGTATATCGTAAAGTATCACTATGTAACTCGATTTCTTTCACCCCAATCCCTCAAATTAACGGTAAATAACTGAATTGTTTGCCCCACATTTAGCTAAGATGATTAGCTAGCCAGCTAAAATGTTTTATTTAGTTAGCAGTCGCATCTACAATAGTTTACTGTCAATAACATGTCTCCAAAAATGACGTGGTGTCTCCAATTGTGTTGACATTTTACAATTGCAATGCGCATCCATGAGTATCCACTTTCTGTAGCTCAGCTGGTAGAGCATGGTGCTTGTAACGCCAAGGTAGTGGGTTCGATCCCCGGGACCACCCATACACAAAAATGTATGCACGCATGACTGTAAGTCGCTTTGGATAAAAGCGTCTGCTAAATGGCATATTATTATTATTATTATCTGAAGAGAGCCCCGAAACATTGTGTGCAGACATTTTATGCAATAAATGAAGTAGGTTCAATCTAGTAGTTCTGATCTTCTGATTGGTCCTGATGAGTTGGGCGAGGTCCCCTGCAGGCTACTGTCACTGTTGCATTGGCTCTGAGTCGGGTTCTCTGTCTTCAAATGTTCAGCCTAAGAGAGGGGATTTTTGTGTGTGTGTGTGTGTGTGTGTGTTTAACAGTGATGATGTGTGTGTGTGTGTGTGTGTTTAACAGTGATGATGTGTGTGTGTGTGTGTGTGTTTGTGTGTGTGTGTGTCCTCAGAGCAAGAACTCGTGAGTTGGAAGAACTGAGAGGCCTATGGCGTGGGTGTTGTCCTTGGCCACCTGCTGACAAGGCTGACAAGATAGGACCCTTTTGTCCATTGTTATTGGATAGGAACAGAACTTATAACCAGCTCCTGACCTAAATAGATCTTAGCACAACATTTTACTCAACATATCATATTCCATATTCACTATAACAAATATATTTACTACGACATTAGCAAGAACCGCCACATCCTCAGCCGGCTAATCCAGTGTGTGAAGTTTTGCGGAGTGTTTGAGTTAGCTTTGCGAGGCAAAGATGAAACTGAGGGCTCCACCAACCCTGGTAAGCCAACACTTTTGAGATCAGTCAATAAATGCTTCTGGTATTGACTTATATGCTGCCCCTGTCTTCATGTTGTTGCTGGACATATATTTTTTTAAATGTGTGTAGGTCACCTAAATCATCAGAAAAATTGCCCCTCCTGAGAATTTTTTCAGGAGCCGCCACTGCTCCAGACGGGACACTAGGAAGTGTAGATCCTGGAGCGGTTCTGCACGCCGACTCAGACACCCTGACTGCTGCTGCCAGTAGAGACTGTCAGTCTGTCAGAGACTGGAGGAGCGGGGGAACAGACAACAACAACATCATGGTTCAGAACGTGATTCTAGTGTTTTTCCGCAGGCGGCTGAGCCAGAGACCCCCGGTGGAGGAGCTGGAGAGTCGGAACATCCTCAAACGTGAGTATTGGACCACGATACATTTATAACCGATTAAAACAAGAGGTTATAACAAAATACATAGTTTATACCGGATCACAGTTTATTATCAGTTTTTATAAGTGAAACTGTCCACTGTCGGGTTAGTCTCATTGAAGTTTGTATCGACTCTCCAGATGAGCCGGTGGGCTTCAGTGCAACATGATTAAATGTCTAAATGACTTCCGTTTATTATTGTGATGAATACATGCTGCATGGGACTACAGCACTACAATTTATACAGCATTTTTTTCTTTACAATTTTTAAACCAACTTTGTTAATCACAAGTCATATTGCCCTATTTTATGTTTATGCAAACTATTTTAAAAATACAGTTAAAGTCGGGAGTTTACATATACCAAATACAATACAGTTTTTCACAATTCCTGACATTTGATCCTAGTCAAAATTCCCTGTCTTATGTCAGTTAGGATCACCACTTTATTTTAAGAATGTGAAATGTCAGAATAATAGTAGAGAGAATTATTTATTTTAGCTTTTATTTCTTTCATCACATTCCCAGTGGGTCAGAAGTTTACATACACTCAATTAGTATTTGGTAGCATTGCCTTTAAATTGTTTAACTTGGGTCAAACGTTTCGGGTAGCCTTCCACAAGCTTCCCAGAATAAGTTTGGTGAATTTTGGCCTATTCCTCCTGACAGAGCTGGTGTAACTGAGTCAGGTTTGTAGGCCTCCTTGCTCTCACACACTTTTTCAGTTCTGCCCACAAATGTTCTATAGGATTGAGGTCAGGGCTTTGTGATGGCCACTCCAATACCTTGACTTTGTTGTCCTTAAGCCATTTTGCCACAACTTTGGAAGTATGCTTGGGGTCCTTGTCCATTTGGAAGACCCATTTGCGACCAAGCTTTAACTTCCTGACTGATGTCTTGAGATGTTGCTTCAATATATCTACATAATTGTCCTTCCTCATGATGCCATCTATTTTGTGAAGTGCACCAGCCCCTCCTGCAGCAAAGCACCCCCACAGCATGATGCTGCCACCCCCGTGCTTCACGGTTGGGATGGTTTTCTTCGGCTTGCAAGCATTAACCTTTTTCATCCAAACATAACAATGGTCATTATGGCCAAACAGTTCTATTTTTGTTTCATCAGACCAGAGGACATTTCTCAAAAAAAGTACAATCTTTGCCCCATCTGCAGTTGCAAACCGTAGTCTGGCTTTTTTAGGGCGGTTTTGGAGCAGTGGCTTCTTCCTTGCTGAGCGGCCTGTCAGGTTATGTCGATATATGACTAGTTTTACTGTGGATATAGATACTTTTGTACCTGTTTCCTCCAGCATCTTCAGAAGGTCCTTTGCTGTTGTTCTGGGATTGATTTGCACTTTTCGCACCAAAGTACGTTCATCTCTAGGAGACAGAACGCGTCTCCTTCCTGAGCGGTATGATGGCTGCGTGGTCCCATGGTGTTTATACTTGCGCACTATTGTTTGTACAGGTGAACGTGGTACCTTCAGGCGTTTGGAAATTGCTCCCAAGGATGAACCAGACTTGTGGAGGTCTACACATTTTTTTCTGAGGTCTTGGCTGATTTCTTTTGATTTTCCCATGATGTCAAGCAAAGAGGCATTGTGTTTGCCTTGGTATGCCTTGAAATACATCCACAGGTACACCTCCAATTGACTCAAATTATGTCAATTAGCCTATCAGAAGCTTCTAAAGCCATTTTTTGGAATTTTCCAAGCTGTTTAAAGGCACAGTCAACTTAGTGTATGTAAACTTCTGACCCACTGGAATTGTGATACAGTGAATTATAAGTGAAATAATCTGTCTGTAAAAAATTGTTGGTAAAATTACTTGTGTCATGCACAAAGTAGATGTCCTAACCGACTTGCCAAAACTATAGTTTGTTAACAAGAAATGTGTGGAGTGGTTGAAAAACAAGTTTTATTGACTCCAATCTAAGTGTATGTAAACTTCTGACTTCAACTGTAAATCATGCAAATAAATATCCCTAGTTATTGAACATAACATCTATACTGAACAAAAAATATAAACGCAACATGCAAGAATTTCAACGATTTGACTGAGTTACAGTTCATATAAGGAAATCAGTCAATTGAAATAAATTCATTAGGCCCTAATCTATGGATTTCATGACTGGGCAGGGGCGCAGCCATGGGTGGGCCTGGGAGGGCATAGGCCCACCCACTGAGGAGCCAGGCCCACCCACTGGGGAGCCAGGCCCAGCCAATCAGAATGAGCTTTACCCCACAAAAGGGCTTCATTACAGACAGAAATACTCCTCAGTTTCATCAGCTGTCCAGTTAGCTGGTCTCAGATGTGGAGGTCCTGGGCTGGCGTGGTTTCACATGGTCCGCGGTTGTGAGGCCGGTTGGACGTACGTACTGCCACATTTTCAAAAACGACGTTGCAGACGGCTTATGGTAGAGAAATGAACATTCAATTCTCCGGCAACAGCTCTGGTGGACATTCCTGCAGTCAGCATGCCAATTGCACACTCCCTCAAATCTTGAGACATCTGTGGCATTGTGTTGTGTGACAAAACTGCACATTTTAGAGTGGCCTTTTATTGTCCCCAGAACAAGGTGCACCTGTGTAATGATCATGCTGTTTAATCAGCTTCTTGATATGCCACACCTGTCAGGTGGATGGATTATCTTGGCAAAGTAGAAATGCTCACTAACAGGGATGTAAACAAATTTGTTGTCACGGATACGGCCGAGGCTGCCCCTCCTCCTCGCTCGGGCAGGCTTCGGCGGTCGTCGTCACCGGAGTACTAGCTGCCACCGATCTATGTTTCTGTGTCTCACTAGTTCTGTCTTTATTATTCACACCTGTTACTCATAAGGCTTATTAGTTTCCCTATATTACCTCTGTTTTCCCTCCTGGGGATGTGATTGTTCTTTGTTACGTCGTCTGTTGAGCTGTTGTTTTGCTCTTCCCTGTGTGGAGGGTTTGCTATGGTTTACTTTGAGTCTAGTAAAGCCATTTATCTCTCAGTTCTGTGTCCTGCGCCTGATTCCATTTCTCCACTTCACCCAGACGCTGACATTTGTGCACAAAATTTGAGACAAATAAGCTTTTTATGCGAATGGAACATTTCTGGGATCTTTTATTTCAGCTCATGAAACATGGGACCAACACTTTACATGTTTATATTGTTGTTCAGTTTAGAACTAGTCTCTTATCACAAAATTGCCATGCATTATGCAGAAAAATAGCCCATAGCCTAAGCCTGGGATCAGGACCTCCAGAAAAACATACTGTTTTTAGGAAAACATTTGCAGTTTTATAATGCTATTCTACACATTTTGTCATGAGGCTGAGAGAATGTTGGTGCCTGTTCGGGTAATCCGGCCCTGCATACGATTTGCATTTGTGCCAGTTTCAATCAGCACTTGGAGAAGGAACATTGTAACACACATTATATAATTCAATCAAATTTGCACACAAGAAAATAAAGAGCCTTTTTGTTCCCCTTTAATATCTTAACCTTTTTAAACTCTGACACCATCTGGTGGCATTTTCTAAACAACGCATAATGTTGTATACTAACTTCATAAAGTACCTTTCTGTTTAAAAGCTACACATCCTACAAACACATGCTTAGTACTGTTAGAAAGGTAACAGCCGTGGGATGCTGATAAAGCAACAACGTGACCCCGAGATACAGCAGGCAAACACAACTGAAATGTACCATTTTTTTGTTAGCAAACACAACTGAAATGTACCGGTTTTTTGTTAGCAAACACAACTGAAATGTACCGGTTTTTTGTTAGCAAACACAACTGAAATGTACCGGTTTTTTGTTAGCAAACACAACTGAAATGTACCGGTTTTTTGTTAGCAAACACAACTGAAATGTACCGGTTTTTTGTTAGCAAACACAACTGAAATGTACCGTTTTTTTGTTAGCAAACACAACTGAAATGTACCGGTTTTTTGTTAGCAAACACAACTGAAATGTACCGGTTTTTTGTTAGCCCACACGCACACACACACACACACAAGAGCCACGCACATGTTCCCAAAAATGTTTAGTCTCATGTTGAAAGGAGATAGACATTTGGCACAGTTGTCATCAGATCAATGTCAGGGTCCAGTCATCAGATCAATGTCAGGGTCCAGTCATCAGATCAATGTCAGGGTCCAGTCATCAGATCAATGTCAGGGTCCAGTCATCAGATCAATGTCAGGGTCCAGTCATCAGATCAATGTCAGGGTTCAGACACTGCGGATGATCATAACTACATCACCATGGTAACAAGATGGAATGGACAGGTCAAGTTGTAGACATCCTATGTTCCCTCCTCCAGTCATCTCTGCTATCCCCAAATCGATTCGCTCCGCATCGCATCATCTCCAGCTCTGCTCCCACTCAATTCAGTCACTCTCGCATGACATCATCCATCAACCATCAGAGCTGCCTCCATCTTCCTTCTCTAGCTCCTCCTCTCTATCTCTCCACTCCATCTATCCTCACTCATCGCTCACTCCTCATTCGTCTCCTCTCTTCCACTCTCTCATCGTCCATCTCTCTTCCTGACTCATCTCTCCTTCGCACATCTATCTGTCTCCTCAACTCTATCTACATCCCCTCTCTAGCCTCCTCACTCCTCCATCCTCTCTCTCTTCTCTCTCCCCTCCATCTCTCTCCTCTCTCCCATCTCTCTCCTTCCCCCAGATCTCTGCTCTCCGTCCTCCATCTCTCTCTCCTCTCCATCTCTCTCTCCTTCCTCCATCTCTCTCTCTCTCCTCCATCTCTCTCCTTCCTCCATCTCTCCTCCCACCATCTCTCCTCCCTCCACCTCTCTCCTCCTGTACTGTTTGTTTCTGACCTGTTGTTCTTCCTCTTTAATCTTCAGAGAGGAACGACCAGTCAGAGCAGGAGGAGAGGAGAGAGATCAAACAGAGACTCAACAGGAAGTTGAACCAGCGTCCTACAGTAGATGAGTTGAGGGAAAGGAAGATACTGATTCGTTTCAGTGACTATGTTGAGGTGGCCAAGGCTCAGGACTACGACCGCAGGGCAGACAAACCCTGGACTAGGCTGTCTGCTTCAGACAAGGTCAGCTCATCACACACAGATACACACAAACAGCTGAGCTCCTGTTTTGACCTCTGCCACCTGTTGTTGTTGATGTTGATGTTGTTGTTGTTGACATCGTTGTTGTTGATGTGTTCTCCAGGCAGCAATACGGAAGGAGCTGAATGAGTTCAAGAGTAATGAGATGGAGGTTCACAATTCCAGCAAGCACCTGACAAGGTGTGTGGGTGTGGGGGTGGGGGTGTGGGTGTGGGGGTGTGGGTGTGCTTTTGGTTTTATTATCCTTGTGGGGACCAAAATTCAGACAAGGACAAATGCTATTTTAGGCTTATCGGTTAGGGTTACAATTAAAATTAGGGTTAGGTTTATGGTTAAGGTTAGGGAGAATAAGATTTTGAATGGGAATACATTTTTTGGTTCAATTTACATCATTTAGCAGACGCTCTTATCCAGAGCGACTTACAGTTAGTGAATACATATTTTTTTATACTGGCCCCCCGTGGGAATCAAACCCACAACCCTGGCGTTGCAAACGCCATGCTCTATCAACTGAGCTACATCCCTGCCGGCCATTCCCTCCCCTACCCTGGACGACGCTGGGCCAATTGTGCGCCGCCCATGAGTCTCCCGGTCGCGGCCGGCTGCGACAGAGCCTGGATTCGAACCAGGATCTCTAGTGGTACAGTTAGCACTGCGATGCAGCGCCTTAGACCACTGCGCCACTCAGGAGTTAGGGTCTAGCCACAAGCATAGTAAAACAAACGTGTGTGTGTCTTTGCATATAGAGACACTAATGTAACCTAGCCAGTGAGAGGACATGCACTTTACAATGTAGATACTGTAGATCCTGACTCTAACCCTCTCTGGAGACACTATAGAGCCTAACTAACCCTCTCTGGAGACACTATAGATCCTAACTAACCCTCTCTGGAGGGGACATATAGGACCTAACTAACCACTCTCTGGGACACTATAGATCCTAGACTAACCCTCTCTGGAGACACTATAGAGCCTCACCTAACCCGCTCTGGCGCACTATAGATCTAACTAACCCTTCTGGAGGACACTGTAGATCTAACTAACCCACTCTGGGGAGAGACCACTATAGATCCAACTAACCTCTTCTGGAGACACTATAGATCCTACTAACCCCTCTCTGGAGACACTATAGATCCTAACTAACCTCTTGGAGACACATCGATCCTAACACCCCTCTCTGGAGACACTATAGATCTAACTCTACTTAACCCTCTCTGGAGAAACTATAGATCCAACTACCCCTCTATGGAGACACTCGAGTCCTAACTACCCCTTGGAGACACTATAGATCCTAACTACCCCTCTCTGGAGGGACACTATAGATCCTGACTCTAACCTCTCTGGAGACACTTGTGTAGATCCTACATAACCCTATCTGGAGACACTATAGAGATTCTACTAACCCTCGCGTGGAGACACTATAGATCCTACCTAAACCCTCTCTGGGACACTGTAGATCCGGACTCTACCCTCTATGGGACACTGGAGATTCCTAAACTAACCCCTCTCTGGAGACCACTATAATTCCTTAACTAACCCTCTCGGAGACCACTAGGATCCTAATAACCCTTCTCTGGAGGACACTAGATCCTCCTAACTAACCCTCATCTGGAGACAAGTAGATCCTGACTTAACCTCTCTGGCGGGGGACCTGAGGATCCTAACGAACCCTCTCTGGAGCACTATAGATCCTAACTAACCCTCTCTGGAGCACTATAATCCTAACGAAACTCTCTGGAGACACTATAGATCCTAAACTAACCATCTCTGGAGGAAGGACCACTATAGATCCTAAAACTAACCCTCTTGGAGACACTATAGATCCTAACTAACACTCTCTGGAGAACCACTATAGATCCTAAACTAACCCTCTCTGAGACACTATCATCCTAAACTAACCCTCTCTGGAGACACCTATAGATCCTTAACTAACCCTCTCTGGAGACACTATTAGAGCCTAACTACCCCTCGTGGAGGGACACTCTAGATCCTAACTAACCCTTCTGGAGACCACTATAGATCATAAAACAACCCTCTCTGGAGACACTATAGATCCTAACAACCATCTCTGGAGACACTATAGATCCACAAACAACCCTATTGGGGACCATGTAGATCCTAACTAAACCCCTCTGAGACACTATAGATCTGACTCAACCCTCTCTGGAGAACTATAGATCTAACTAACCCTCTCTGGAGACACTATAAGATCCTAACTACACCCTCTCTGGAGCGAAGACACTATAGATCCTAACTAACCCTCTATGGAGGGCACACTATAAGATCCTAACAACCCCTCTCTGGAGACACTATAGATCCTAAAAACTAACCCTCTCTGGAGACAATTGATCCTAACTAACCCCTCTGGAGACACTATAGTCCTAACTAACCCTCTCTGGAGACACTATAGATCATGACTCTAACCCATCTTGGAAGACACTCTAAGATCATCACTAACCTTCTCTGGGGGACACGGTAGATCCTAGCTACCCTCTCTGGAGACACTATAGATCCTAAAACTAACCTCTCTGGCGACACTATAGGATCCTAAACGGACCTCTCTGGAGACACATAGATCTAACAAAACCCTCTTGGAGGACACTATAGATCCAACTCACCATCTCTGGAAGGACACTGTAGATCCCTAGAGAACCCTCTCTGGAGACACTATAGATATAACTAACCCCTCTCTGGAGACACTATAGATCCTAACTAACCCTCTCTGGAGACACTATAGATCCTGACTCTAAAAAAAAAAAAAAAAACCCCCCCCCCCCCTTCCTGAGAAACTATAGATTCCTAAAATAAACCCTCTTCTGGAGACACTATAGATCCTAACTAACCCTCTCTGGAGACACTATAGATCCTAACTAACCCCCTCTCTGGGGAAAGTAGATCTAAATAACCCTCTCGGGAGGCCACTGTAGATCCTAACTAACCTCTCTGAGAGACACTATAGATTCCTAAACTAACCATCTCTTGGAGACACATAGATCCTAACTAACCCCTCTGGAGGACACTATAGATCTGGACTCTTACCCTCTCTGGAAGACACATAGATCATAAACTAACCCCTCTCTGGAGGACAATCGTAGGTATCCGAACGAACCCTACTCTGGAGACACGTAGATCCTAGCTAAACCCTCTCGGAGACAATATAGATCCTGACTGTACCCTCTCTGGAGACCAACTATAGATCCTACACTAACCCTCTCTGGAGACACTATAGATCCTAACTCAAACCCTCTCTGGAGACACTATAGATCCTAACTAACCCTCTCTGGAGACACTATAGATCCTGACTAACCCTCTCTGGAGACACTATAGATCCTAACTAACCCTCTCTGGAGACACTATAGATCCTAACTAACCCTCTCTGGAGACACTATAGATCCTAACTAACCCCCTCTGGAGGAACACTATTATAGATCCTGACTCTAACCCATCTATGGAGGAGACACTGTATGTTAGATCCTAACTAACCCTCTCTGGGAGAACCAAAGAGATCATAGCTAAACCTCTCTGGAAGACGGGACACTATAGATCCTAAACTAAACCCTCTCTGGAAGACACTTATAGATCCAACTAACCCATCTCTGGAGACACTATAGATCCTTAACTAACCCTCTCTGGAAGGACACTATAATCCTACCTAACCCTCTCTGGAGACACTATAGATCCTCTGACTCTAAACCCTCTCTGGAGAACTATAGATCCTAACTAAAACCTCTCTGGAGACACTATAGATCCTAACCTAACCTCTCTGGAGGACACTATAGATCATAACTAACCCCTCTCTGGAGCCACTATAGATCCCTAACTAACCCTTTGGAGACACTGTAGATCCTAACTATACACGCTCTGGAGGACACTATAGATCCTAACTAAACCCTTTCCTGGAGACACTGTAGATTCCTAACTAACCTCTCTGGGAGAAGACACTTTAGATTCCGAACAACCCCTCTGGAGACACTATAGATCTACTAACCACTCTTCTGGAGCACTATAGATCTGATCTCACCTCTCTGGAGAGGAGAGATCTGCAACACATGGAGAACTCTATCCCCTGAATAACACTGTATAACTCGACTCCCCATGAAATAACACTGTATAACTCGACTTCCCTGAATAACACTGTATAAAATCTACTCCCCCTGAAATAACACGTATAACTTCTACTACCCCTGAATAAACACTGTTAAGCTCACTCCCCATGCATAACAATTATAACTCGAATCCCCAGGAATAACACTGTATAACTCGATCCCCCTGAATCCCTGAATAACACTGTATAACTCTACCCCCTTGAATAACACTGTATAACTCGAACTCCCAATGAAATAACACGGTATAAATCGACTCCCCCTGAATTAACCACTGTATAACCGACTCCCCCTGAATAACACTCTGTATAACTCGGACTCCCCCGAATAACACTGTTTATAATCGGACCTCCCCACTGAATAAAACTGTATAACTCGACTCCCCCTGAATAACACTGTATAACCGATCCCCCTGAAAACACTGTATAACTCTACTCCCCCCTGAAATAACACGTTACCCAAAGGCTATCCCTTGAATATAACACTGTTATAACTCGACTCCACCTGAATAACACTGTATAACTCTACTCCCCTGAAGAAACACTTGTATTAACTCTACTCCCCCTGAATAAACACGTGTATTATAATCTATACCCCTGAATAACACTGTATAACTCTACTCCCCCTGAATAACACTGTATAACTCTACTCCCCCTGAATAACACTGTATAACTCTACTCCCCCTGAATAACACTGTATAACTCGACTCCCCCTGAAAACCCCTTGTATAACTCGACTCCCCTCTTGAAAACATGTATTATAAACTCGACCCCCCGAATATAAACACTGTTATAACTCTACTCCCCCTGAATAACACTGTTTATAACTCTACTTCCCCCTGACTAACCAATGTATAACTCTACTCCCCCTGAAATAACCGTATAACTCTACTCCCCCTGAATAACACTGTATAACTCGACTCCCCCTGAATAACACTGTATAACTCGACTCCCCCTGAATAACACTGTATAACTCGACTCCCCGAAATAACCACTGTATAACTCTACTCCCCTGAATAAAACACTGTAATAACTCGACTCCCCCGAATAACAATGTATAAACTTCTACTCCCCCTGAATAACACTGTATAACTCTACTCCCCCTGAATAACACTGTATAACTCGACTCCCCCTGAATAACACTGTATAACTCGACTCCCCCTGAATAACACTGTATAACTCTACTCCCCCTGAATAACACTGTATAACTCTACTCCCCCTGAATAACACTGTATAACTCGACTCCCCCTGAATAACACTGTATAACTCGACTCCCCCTGAATAACACTGTATAACTCGACTCCCCCTGAATAAAACACTGATAAACTCGGACTCCACTGAAAAAACTGATAACTCGACTCCCCCTCGGAATAACACTGTATAACTCTACTCACCTGAATAAATGTATAACTCTACTCCCCCTGAATAAGCACTGTAAATCTACTTCCCCCGGGAATAAACACTCTATAACCTACTTCCCCCTGATAACACGTATAACTCGACCTCCCCCTGATAAACACTGTTATAACTCTACTCCCCCGAAAATAACACTGTTATAAACTCTCTACTCCCCCTGGAATAACACTGTATAAACTCTACTCCCCTGGAATAACACTGTATTATAACTCGACTCCCCTGAGAATATAACACTGTATAACTCGACTCCCCCTGATAACACTTGGAATAACTAGGACTCCCCCATGAATAAACTGATAAACTCTCTCCCCCTGAATAATAAACCACTGTATAAAACTCGAATCCCAATGAAACACTGTATAACTCGACTCCCCCTGAATAACACTGTATAACTCGACTCCCCCTGAATAACACTGTATAACTCGACTCCCCGAGAACACTGAAACTCGACTCCCCTGAAATAACACTGTTTAAAACTTATCCCCCCTGAATAACACTGTATAACTCGACTCCCCAGAATAACAATGTAAACTCTACTCCCCCTGAATAAACACGATAACTCTATAACACCCCCTGAATAACACTGTATAACTCGACTCCCCTGAAGAACACGGTATAACTCGAATCCCCTGAATAACATGTATAACTCGATCCACCTGAATAACACTATAACTCTACTCCCCCTGAATAACACTGTATAACTCTACTCCCCCTGAATAACACTGTATAACTCTACTCCCCCTGAATAACACTGTATAACTCTACTCCCCCTGAATAACACTGTATAACTCGACTCCCCCTGAATAACACTGTATAACTCTACTCCCCTGAAAACAGGTATAAATCGACTCCCCCTGATAACACTGTATAACTCTATCCCACGGAATAACACTGTATAACTATACTCCCCCTGAATAACACGGTATAACTCGACTCCCTGACTAAACACTGTTATAACTCTCACTCCCACTGATAACACTGTATAATCGACTCCCACTGAAAAACACTGTATAATCGACGCCCCCCTGCAAGAACACTGTAGAACTCGATCCCCCCTGATAACACGGTATAACTCGACTCCCCCTTGAATAAACATGATAACTGAACTCCCCTGAAATAACACTGTATAACTGACTCCCCCTGAATAACACTGTATACCTCTACTCCCCCTGAATAAAACACTGTATTAAATCACTCCCCCTGAATAACACTGTATAAATCGAACTCCCCCTGAAATAAACACTGTATAACTCGACTCCCCTGAACAAACACTGTATAACGCTACTCCCCCATGAATACACTATAACTCTACTCCCCCTGATAACACTGTTAACTCTACTTTTTCCCCCTGAAATAACAATGTATAACTCTCCTCCCCCTGCATAAACACTGTATAACTCTACTCCCCTTGAATAACACTGTAGTAACCGACTCCCCCGAATAAACACTGTTTTAACTCTACTTCCCTGAATAACACTGTATAACTCGACTCCCCCTGAATAACACTGTATAACTCGACTCCCCCTGAATAACACTGTATAAACTCGACTCCCCCTGAATAACACTGTATAACTCTACTCCCCCTGAATAACACTGTATAACTCTACTCCCCTGAATAACACGGTAGAACTATACTTCCCCCTGAATAACACTGTATAACTCTACTCCCCCTGAATAACACTGTATAACTCTACTCCCCCTGAATAACACTGTATAACTCTACCTCCCCCTGAATAACACTGTATAACTCTACTCCCCCTGAATAACCACTGTATAACTCGACTCCCCCTGAATAACACTGTATAACTCTACTCCCCCTGAATAACACTGTATAACTCTACTCCCCCTGAATAACACTGTATACCTCGACTCCCCCTGAATAACACTGTATAACTCGACTCCCCCTGAATAACACTGTATAACTCGACTCCCCCTGAATAACACTGTATAACTCGACTCCCCCTGAATAACACTGTATAACTCTACTCCCCCTGAATAACACTGTATAACCGAATCCCCTGAATAAACACTTGTATAACTCTACTCCCCTTGAAATAACACTGGTATAACGCTACTCCCCTGAATAACACTGTATAATTCTCTCCCCCTGAATAACCACTGTATAACTCTACTCCCCCTGAATAACACTGTATAACTCTACTCCCCCTGAATAACACTGTATAACTCTACTCCCCCTGAATAACACTGTATAACTCTACTCCCCCTGAATAACACTGTATAACTCTACTCCCCCTGAATAACACTGTATAACTCGACTCCCCCTGAATAACACTGTATAACTCTACTCCCCCTGAATAACATGTATAAATCGGACTCCCCCCTGGAAAACACGTTATAACTCTACTCACCCTTGTTCATTTTTAACTATTTCTGCATATAACTTTTACAAACTCTATCCCCCGAATAAACACTGTATAACCTACTCCCCCTGAATAAACCGGTAAAACTCCCTACTCCCCCTGAAGAACACTGTTTATAACTCTACTCACCCTGAATAAACACTGTATAAACTCGACTCCCCCTGCAATAACACGGTTATAACTCTACCCCCCTGAATTGAATAACACTGTATAAAACTCTACTCCCCTGGAATTAACAATGTATAACTCGACTCCCCCTGAATAACAAGGCTTGATAACTATACTCCCCTGATAACACTGTATAAACTCTACTCCCCCTGCTGAATAATAACACTGTTATAACCGACTCCCCCTGAATAACACGTATAAACTCGGACTCCCACTTGAATAAACACTGTATTAACTCGACTCCCCCTGCTGACAACACTGGATAACTCTACGCCCCCTGAATAACACTGTATAACTCGACTCCCCCTGAATAACACTGTATAACTCGACTCCCCCTGAATAACACTGTATAACTCGACTCCCCCTGAATAACACTGTAGCACTCTACTCCCACTGGAATAACACTGCTATAATCGACTCCCCAGGGAATAATAACACTGTATAACTCTACTCCCCATGCTGAATAAATAACACTGTTAAAACTTCTACTCCCCTGAATAACACTGTCTAACTCACTCCCCTGAAATACACTGTATAATAACTCGACTCCCCCCTTTTTGAATAACCCTGTATAATTACTCCCCCGGAATAACACGGTTATAACTCGGACTCCCCCTGAATAACACGGTATAACTCTACTCCCCCCTGAATAAAACTCTTAAGAACTCTACTCCCCATTGAATAACACTGTATTATAACTCGATCCCCCGAATAACCACGTATAACTAGAATCCCCCTGAATAACACTGTATAAACTCCTCTACTCCCCCTGAATAACACTGTTATTTATAACTTCTACTCCCCCTGATAACACTGTAAAACTCGACTCCCCTGAAATAACACTGTATAACTCGCCTCCCCGATAAACATGTAACTCGACTCCCCCTGATACAATTGTATAACTCTACTCCACCTCTGAAAACACGTATAACTCGGACTCCCCTTGAATAACACTGGATAACTCGACTCCCCCGAAGCATGGGATAAAAACTCGACTCCCCCT